GAAGGTAAAAGAACAGAAAAGAATCAAAGGACTTGTACTTAATATTCAGATACCTTATCTAGTAAAGTTTAAGCCTAACTAATTTTCAGTGTTCACTTTTCTTTCTTTTGAGTGTATCCATGCAATTTTATTTTATCTGGTTTGATCTATGTCTGATTAAGTTTTCTAGTTTGATTGACACACACTGAGACAATTTTTTGTTTATAACTTTAAGCCTTTATAGTCACCCCGTAGTATTAGGAATATCCTTTTGCTAGCCACTTCGAGCCTAAATCTTTCTTTTGGTGATGTAGCCTACAACTCTTATCCATATGACTTGAAATATTCTTTCTTTCTACATCTCTTTGGAGTTAGGTAGAAATTTAGTTCTTAAGTTATATGAAAAATATTAAGTTTTGCGTTGCTCTTGGAAGTGAGCAAAGTTCCAAGTTTGGGGTTGGGGTACAATAGATAATTGGTCAAAAATTAAACTTTTTTGAGAAAATAAGAAGTGGAAAAAGACTCTTTTTAAAAAAAACAGAAAGAAGGACCAAATCTCTAGTACCGGTAAGAAGGAACAACGAGGTATGAGAATAGAAGGAGAATTAGGCACCTTGTAACACCCCATTTAATTATTTAGTCACGTCATAATCATTTTGTGTATCGTTTGTAATTTTATTGTCTTGTTTGAGGATATGTGTGTTAAGTGGGAGTGAGAGAGCTTAGTAGAATGACTTAGTCGAAGTTAAAGGTTAGGATAATGTGGTAGTAATGATATGAATAAGGAGGCAATATATAAATGTAATATTATTTGTATTAATATTAATATTGTTATTATGATTATTAATATTAATATTGTTATAATTATTTACACTATTATTATTATTGGAACTATTATTAAGATTATTATTATTATTAGTAAAATAATTAAGAGATAAAACCTAATTAGAGTAATTATTGGAGAAGTTACAGTCAATTTTGGTTTTACGTGAAAAGAGAGAAGGAAAGTTAGGGCTAGAGAAGAAGAGAAATTTTCCACCATTATTGAAGGATCAAGCTCAGATTTTAGGTAAGGGGGAGAATGCGATTCAGTAATGGTGATAATAACATGAGAGGGTAGTGAGGGTTTCTTTCCCTCTTAGGACTTTCATGCATATTCTTTTCCTTGTATTTCTTGATTCTATAATCGTGTGAATGTTGTGAAATTCGTGTTGTTGTGATGATACTGGTATGAATTTGTGTCTGTTGTAGTAATATTGATATGAATTCGTGGGAATTTGTGGATTGTTGTTGTGTTTTACCTTGTTACAGATCTGTAAAATTATGAGATGTAGAAGATGACGAAATTAGAGTTAGGTGATGAATAATCTTGACAGAATAATTAGATAGAATGGAATTGTGGATGATAAACTGGTATAGAAGGCTGTTTTAGATCTAATTTAGGTGCTAGAGTGGATTTCATTGTGTGAGAATTCGTGTAGATGAAAAACTGGTATTTTTTGCGTGCTCACTGGCCATACGCGTATGGGGGGAGGTCATACACGTATGTGGGAAATTCCTAGAGGTCGTACGCATAACATACATGCCTTGTCCCTATAGCTAGCACATCCCTCTACTAGTACACGTATGACAGGGGCAGTACACGTAGGGGAAGCCATACGCGTATGGGGAGTTTGAAGGGATTTGAGAGGGAAACCCAGTCTGGCTATGCGCGTAAGGGTCAGGGTATTACGCGTATGGAGGTCTGGCAGTGAGGCCATACGCGTATGATACACAGGCCTAAGGCAGGGGAAGCTGACCATATGCGTATGGGGCAGGGCCATACGTGTATGGGCAGGGCTGTAGTGTAATTTTCTCGTTTTCGCGGTTTTTGTCCCGATTTCGTGTGCGATGCAATTTATCTTGATGCATAAGACTAATGTGACATAATTGGACATAAGGGAACTAGTAATGATATAGAATATGATCAAACATGTAATTTCATGTGATTGTCTTTATGATACATGTTTGATGCTTGTGCTCCAAGATTGTCGTTGTCTGGACGATCTTGAGCGGTGGTGGTAATTCCTGAGAGAATTACGGTGAACATGTGGCTTGTGTGTGATCATTGAGGATCGTGAAATCATGCTTGAATAATTATTATGTTGTGCATAATTTGTGTCATGCATTCATGTCATGTTATGTGAAGACGAGCTAGGTGGGAATCCATGATGAATGTCTAGTCTTGTCCGGACTCTATGTGGGAGTCGTGTAGAGATAAGTTGTAGTTCAGAGGAACATATACATCTTATCCGGATTCCGACGGGAATCGGGTTCTAGGGTGAACCGTATGTGACTGTGATGGTGCCACATGCACTGTGTCGTGTCAGTGAGTCACATTGCATACTTATATATATATATATATATATATATATATATATATATATATATATATATATATATATATATATATATATATATATATATATATATATATATATATATATATATATATATATATATATATATATATATATATATATATATATATATATATATATATATATATATATATATATATATATATATATATATATATATATTGAATGTGGGGTGTTCATGCCGAATGATGATGTGGCACTTGTATGTGCGTGATGATTGTATGATTGGTGTGCTTTGTATGAACTACTCCTTAGCATGACTTTTTTCACCGTATATTGATTGAATGCAGTTCTCACCCCTTTTGATGTTTGTTGTGTCTGTGCTCCTTGAGGAGTACAGATGATCAGGTGCCTGAGTAGTACTTGGATCATTGTGTTGCTATTTGATCGAGTCTTAGGAGTCGCTCTGATACGTAACACAGGAAGGATGGAGATTTTGTTATGTTTTCATGTTATTTGACTTTGTATTTGTTATGTATTTGATTTTGATTCAATTGTTGTGGAACCACGTATTATGTGGGGAATTGATGTATTTGGTGTTTACATGTTAAACTGTTATATTTAATTCTGCTGATTATTCATACTACTTATTTTATGGAATAAATAAAATGTGAAGCGCATTGATACTTCACCTTGACATTGTTTTTGGAATTGACATCCTTCGTGTATTAACTCTGATTTGATTCCGCATTATTTTCGTATTTTTAATTATTAGGCGAATGGATAGAGTAGGGTGTTACACACTTAACTCCAAAGGTTTAAAACCACTTTCCTAAAAATGTCTTACCCAAAACCTCTTGTTTACTGTTTTCTTTTATATTGCACAAATATTGTCTTGTTCGAACACAGTACCTGTGGATTCAATCTTTTATTATTGCAACACTATTGATACACTTGCCGATAAGTCATCAAACGCAAAACCAGTTGATACTCCTATGGATCCAAGTGTCAAACTCCTACCTAATTAGGGGTAGCCTCTATCTAACTTAGGAAGGTATAAAAGATTGGTTGGAGAGTTAAATTATCTCACGGCTAGTCGTCCGAACATTTTTTTTGCAGTTAGTGTAGTAAGATAGTTATTAGATTCTATTTTCGAGAAGCATGTAACACCCTTCTAAACCCCACGAAATAATACGTCATAACCCAGAGTAAGATAACATGTATCTCAAATAAAGATGTCACATATAATTTAAACATCACACATACACCTGTCATGCTAGATAAGACTTAAAATTAAATTCATGTTTTTCATACACTTTGACATAACATGTAGCAGCATAATCACTTTCATTTATAACAAACATAATAAATAGTCTCATAAATAACTCATTCATATCACCACTTATGCATGAAATTCAAAACTCCACATAATTCAAATAACGGTAGCAAAATAAAATAGAGTACATAAAATATCTCTCAAAACATGAACCAAAATGTTCTCAGTGTTACATGACCAAAGCATGACTCAAACCAAAATAAATAAGGAAAATAAAGTAAGCAATTCCAACATCTACCCTCATGCTAGAAGAAACTCTACTCTTCAGTACCTAAGTGATGTCATATAAAACATCATTCCAACAGAAGGGTGAGAATTCATATAATCATCAAAATCATATGACAATATATAATACATAGCATACATGCATAGCATGATTATTTTCACACTTCAAGTGCTTTATAAACATAACATCACTTAATTAACCATACTATTCATAAGTACATACTCACAAATTCATCAAATTCACATAATGCACATAATCTCATATTGCAATCATAGACACAGTATGACTCAATGCAGGACTCAAATGCAATACTTATGCATGTGGTACCAATCACTGTTATTATTTTTCAGTTTTTACATTAAACCAGGTCCTTCCTCTATATCAATAACACACAAAAGTCTGTCCTCTAAGCTTTAAATCCCTCTATGGGTTTGGGACAAGTCACTAGTTCCCACGGAACTAACAAGCATTGTCTCTTGACTACAATGATGCATGTGCAAGTTTAACAACCATGTGAAATTAAGATCATCCCTCAATATTAACATCCATGCATATCTTTAATAATTCAACGTAATTGAGTTACCACACAATTATACATACTTGCACATATTTATGAATCATCCACACACAGTTCACTTTCAAATGTTATACCACACAATTATACATACTTGCACGGTCAGTGTAATAAATTTTACACCGTCGATTCATTACCAACATCTATTTATCTTATTTTATAAATGATTAAAATAAAAATCAAACTATTTTAAACATTCAATAACTATGATTAATGGACATGTAAAATCTTTTTACACTATCCATATATTTCAATTAAATTCATAAAAGAATTAAAAAAATATTAAACTTTATAAGAATGTCGTATAAAACCAAAAACATATACACGTCAATGGTTCGAGCATTTTCGGTCGAAGTAGATTCAACTTTGATTTTCATTCATTCATCAGTTGAATCAAGTTAGGTTATTGGTTCGTAGTGACTGAGACTCCTCAATCCTTGATTTCTTCTCGTAACAACCAAGTCAAGATTCTTTTCTTCTTCTCGAGTCAAATTCGTTTCAGCGAGGGTTTAGAACTGAAATTCAATGTCTCAGACTAAGAAATTGACGCCGAATCTCGATCAGAGCAGCACCAAGTTGCTCAATCTCACTGTTCTCCAACGAATGGATCCATTCATCGACGAGATTCTCTTCACCGCCGCGCATGTATCCTTCTACGATTTCAACATCGAAACCAATCAGTGGAGTCGTAAAGATGTTGAAGGATCTCTATTTGTCGTCAAGAGGTATTATATCTCTATGCTGTATTTCTCTTGCATTGTTATTCAGTTGGATCTTGAATCGTTGTTCTGATTTTCGTTCAGGAATGCACTACCGCAGTTTCAGTTTATCGTTATGAATCGCAGAAATACAGGTTCAGATTTGTTGAAATTTTATTGTTCTTCAGATTTGGTATAAAGATCCTTTATAGTTGTATAAGATCGTGTTTTACTGTTTTGCTGATTGCGTTAAATTGAAATCTAATGAAATTGTTATTGTTATCATTGCTGCGCAAATCTTGATTCCTGAACTAATAATATCCGAATGTAGTTACTGATTAATATTAATTCCATGATAGATAATTAGATGAAACACCTCTTTTTTAAAAATATATCATTCAGAATCAATCGAACAGTTTGTCTATGATGTTGTTACCTGCTGATTTCTTCTAAATTAATTCACGGTGAAATATATTTACTAGAAGTGTCCCTGCTCTTAACTGCTCCGGTTGTGTGTATGTTTGAATCTACTTTCTGTTATGTTTGTTATGGCAGAGAATCTAGTGGAGAATCTATTGGATTTTGAGTATGAACTTAAAAATCCATACTTGTTATATCGGAATGCGTCGCAAGAAGTTAATGGTATATGGTTTTATAATGCTGAAGAATCTGAAGAAGTTGCAAATCTCTTTAATAGGTATGTTAGTTTTCCGCGTCTGTTTATGCGGTGTAATCGAACATGCAGGAGGTTTATTTGCGACTAATATAAATGTATATTTTTGCAAAATCATATTTGCAGGATTCTTACTGCATACTCAAAGGCACCTTCAGATACAACAGTGCCTTCTAACAAAAGGTAAGGATTTTTAGAAAGTTTGTGAAAACTTTAAGTTGTTTCTGTTTCTCTCTCTCGGGATGGTATGCAGGGTGCTTTAACTTCTTAAATGTTACATTTTATCCCGATGCGTTTTCTGCTGCCTATATATTAATGATTCAAAACAAAATTATTCTTGCTATTCTGTTTGTGATGAAACGGATGATATCAAACCCGAAAACAAAACTTTATTTGATTAAACTATTCATGAGAAGGTCAATCATTCCTGACCGTTGAATTGTGCTTGTACAAACTTCAAACTATCTATATATTTGATACCCCCACTTAATTACTTGTCCAAGTTGGGTTCATTAGTCATTACTATTGCATGTTACGCCTGATGTTTTTATACCCTGTAGTGAGTTTCAGGAACATGACCCAGTGTCCGTCATAAATGAAAGCCCTGTAGAGTCATCTTCAGCTGCTGCTACTGCAACTGACGCTGTTGGAGATTCTGTATTGACAAAATTCTTCAACGTATGTCATTAGCTGCATATCAATTTTTTATGGCTTTTTGCTGGGTACTTTGACAATTTTAAGTTTGGTTTTTGATTTTATGATTATAGATGTCTCTGGCTTTATAAACCTTTGATTTCAATTGTTGCAGGCACCTAAGTTTACTGGTTATGCTTCTAACGTAGATAGTTTTCAGCAGCCCTACCATTCTGCAAGTGTCACTTCTACTGTTCCCGGTGGTTTTTTGCCTCCTGTACATTCTCTTCAAACGCCATCTACTTCTCTTGAAACAATTAACAGTGGCAATCCGGTTACTAATCTTGTTAAGCCTTCCAATTTTCTTGCACCCAACCCTTTATTACCATTAATTCCACCTGTTTCTTCACCTATGCCACCTAGTGCGGCTGTTCATCATTCCCAGAATCTGCCACACCAATATGGCACTCCACTGCTTCAACCCTTCCCAGCACCTAATCCCCCTTCTCTTACCCCTATTTCTATCTCCATACCAAATAGTCCGGTTATCAGCAGGGATAAAGTCCGTGATGCACTTATATCAATGGTTCAGGTACTTTATGTTTTTTCTATTTTAGTATTGTTCCCTCCGTTGCTTGAGCATTGATAATTTGATTGTATTTTTAAGTTGTAAATTGTTATTCAGTTACTCTTTTGGGGGTAATAAAATTTTATGGCATTATTTGATCCATGTAGCGCCGATCCCACTTAGTGGAATGAGATAAGATTTAGTTGCCTTTTTTGGGGGTGGGGGAGGTGTTAAAAAAGGGAAGTAAGGATTACTACCTACTAGTGTTGTGACCGACAATGGGTATAACATTGGAGCAATTCCCACTGCCGAATGTCCAGTTTAAGCCATAACCTTTTTTGGGTGAATAAGTTTAAGCTATAACTACTGCCCACTGGTTGTCAATTGTTAAAAGAGAAAATTTTGGTTGGAAGGATAATATAATTTAGTAAGGATTACTACCTACTAGTGTTGTGACCGACAATGGGTATTTAACATTGGAGCAATTCCCACTGCCGAATGTCCAGTTTAAGCCATAACCTTTTTTGGGTGAATAAGTTTAAGTTATAACTACTGCCCACTGGTTGTCAATTGCTAAAAGAGAAAATTTTGGTTGGAAGGATAATATAAATTTAGTCAGGGCACAACATATGAAGCTAATTTTTTATTTATATTTTCGCAAATAAGTCACCATCAGGCTTTCCAAATACATGGAAAATAGTATACCTTTACTATAAAAAAGAAACTACACTTCATAGTAATTATCCAAACTATTGATATTGAGATTGTTTCATGTAAGATAGCAACAAAATCATATTGAGAAATAAGAGGCAAGACCACAAAGTAAGAGGCAAGACCACAAAGTAAGAATTTTACAAATTTGATGGTTGAAAACTCCATTTTTAGCGCAAGTGTGATATTAGATTTTTGGTATGCATTTTTTATAGTGTTTCATAATTATTATTACTGCTTGTATTTATAATTTTAATTTTTAAATTGAACCTCTACTTTACAAGAGAATTTAAGTAATGAAATTGCCATCTTTTTACAAAATAAAATGTATGTATAGGTGGTGAAATGATGAACATATGCTTTTTTTTACCCTTTCTGTGGGATGCTTACATTTTCTTTTGGTCTGTTGTATAAACTTTCTAAACAGTTTCTCCACTAATGAAATTTTCTTGTGCCAGGAGGATAAATTCATTGACATGGTGTTCGAGACGTTATTGAAGACTCATAATTCATGAGTAATTGAACTTTAAAGGTTGGGTGAAAACAGCATATAAACTTAGTTCTGTATATGGTAGTTACTCTCCAACTCATCCATGGCATCCTTTTGTGTAACTTTAGTTTAGACTTTCGTCTGTCTGGTACTTTGGCCTCAACTTTGCATACCTGTATTGGCCGTTTCTGCAATACACTTTCAAAATTATATATGCACACAATCCTTGCCATTGAATTTTTGTATTTATACGGGGATAGTAATGGAAGAAAACAAAGATTAAAATCTTAAATAATTTTAATTTGATAAATTGATTACTGTCCTTGTGTACACAAAAATTTAATGGTAAAAACATTATCATGTATTCTTACGCTTCCAAACGCTAGTATGGCATAGAAATAGCCATATGTAACTGTCAGTTTACTCCTAAAACTTTGTGGTACTTGTGCTCTTGTGCACAAACGTGGAGGTTCTATTGGTTGTCTCTGTATATCAAATATTTGTTATTGAGTAGTTGAGTTATTGGGACCCACTGGTCGCAAATCCTCGTGAGACTAGGATTGTAGAATTGGCCACATTGTGAATACATAAATTTTGATAGTAGTATAATGGAATAGGTTGTGTTGAGATAAAGATTATCATGCTATTTTGCTTTGAATTAGTTGAAGAATGCCAACAATTTGCATGGGAAAGTTGTGCATTCATTACATTTACATTTGTTTGCAATTGTGATACCCTGCACAACCATCGGGCCTACAGTTGTTTGCATGGGAAGATTATCTATTCAAAATTAGTAGATATTTTGGTTATGGCTTTTAAGGATAGATGTTAAATAATCATCTCTGATAGATTGAGGGGAGTGTAATGCTAAAGTTCGCTCTGTTTTATTGCCATACCTGGCAGTGGGGTTCTATTTGATTTATTAAACTAGTTATTGTGTTGCACATTAATCCGACTTCTATCTCTAACATACATTTGTAGATTGTAAAGATTGTAGAATTTATTAAAACAAAACAAACATAAATGCAATTTTAGTTCTTTTACATTGATGTATAAGTAAGTTCACTTTTCTACTGCATTTAATTTTATATTAGTTTGGCATGGTTTATTGTATTGTTGATTAGTTATTTTTGGACATACTTGCAAGCAGTACAATAGTAAAATTATTTGTAGTAACAGACTAATTTAGAAGAAAATAATGTGTCAAAAAACATGGTATTTACTTTATGGATCCTAGTTAATAATAGGAATAACGATTCTCTGCAGTCAATGATATGATGAATTTACACTGTCATGATGACCGTTGGATTAAGATCGAACGGTTTATATACTAAATACTTTTTACTTTTAAAGAACTAGATCTTCATTAAATTTGAATTGTTCTATCATGGCTGAAAGTTCTGTTATTGCGGTAAAACAGTGACTGCAGCGGATTCAATTTCTAGTAATGAACTAGTAGAAGACCCGTGCGTCCGCATGAGTATGAGAAAAAGTATAATCTTATCGAATTTAAATTTCACAAGAAAAAGTATATTCAAATGTATATTAAGAGTAATATTTATGCAGATTTTTATTTATTTGAATGTAACTGATAGTATCTTGTATAACTTTATGAAGTATTTCAATCACATTTTGAACATTATAGTGAAAAGGTTGAAATACATAATTAAAATTTTAGACTTTTAATTTTTTTAAGTAATATTTATACATGATTATTTTTTAGAGCAATAGAGTAACATACAATTTTATTGTAAGTTTGTATGGAATAAAAAAATCAAATACATGAGATTTTGAGTTATTTGACAATATTAACAAACCCGTGAATCTCTTATTTTTTAGCTAGAGACATAAAATCGTTACATTACATTAGCTAAATATTGCCTAGAAAATCCTTATCAGTGATCAAAATAGACTCACCTTCGCAATAGATTCTTGACATTAAAGTTAATATAAAATTTAGGCATGAAAGGATTAGAGCATAGACAGAAATTGTCCATAAGTCAATAATCATCTTTTCAGTGACATACATTTGGGTATAGATTGAGACATTTAAATGAAGAACAAAAATGAGTATACACCTACCAAATAACAACAAATTATCTTCACAATGAAAACAAATTGTTTCTTCAATCATATTACAGTGAAAAAGATTAGAATACATAATATCATATTAAGATTTTAGACACATCATCATCACAAAATATATTTATTTATTTTTTACTTAAATCTAATTGGTTGTGTTCCGTGTCACTTCATTTGAGTTATTTAGTCGATTATTAAAAACTACTTTTTAATGTGTATTTTGAAATGTAATGAAAGAGTATATTAAGGAGTTCAATGGTGTTTTCCAAGCTTAATTATATACATGATATTATTCAAATTCTAAATATTATACATAGATAGATGATATTATTTAAATTCTAAATATTATACAGGGCTAAACTTATCATTTTGTGAGAGAAATGCAAGAAATTCGTGCCTATGCACGAGTTACATTTTTGGATGAGATGTGATTTTGAACACGCATTTGTTTGCAAACTGTCATAAGAATTAAAAGTTGAAAATAGAAAAAAAAAAATTTAAGAATAATATTAAATTTAAGTTGAAATAGTAATACATGTAGAAGATGAAAGATAAACAACAATATCAATAATAATATGATTAAAAAACTACTGAAACTTGTATTAGATAAATTAATCATTTAAGTTTTTTTAACTAATAAGATAATTCTTATAAGAGAGAATATATTGTTTGATAAATTTCTATTATTCAATATTTGAATCATTAGTAAAGTTGATCTCGTTTAAAAAAATAGTATTTGTTTCCATATATAAAAATATTTTAATCAACAATTCTTTTCCGTATATAAATATTATTATTGTTTTGACATTATTTATAAATATATTTGAATCAATAGTAAAGTTATTCCCGTTTATAAAAATATTTAAATCAAAATATTATTTTTGTTTTGACATTATTTATAAATATATTTGAATCAATAGTAAATTTGTTTCCGTTTATAAATATATATATGAAATGTGTTACTTGTACTTTTCTTGATAACAAAAGAACATTTTGTTGATGAGTAAACATTTCCAAGAAACTTAGTTTAAACCAGGAATTTACTTTTAACATATGAATTTGATAGTTTTTTTTTGTTTCAAGGCAATTGTCCTTACCGTAGACACTGCACTGGATGTCCATCATTGGGAATTTCAGTTAAATTGATTTGTTCCTTGATTTTAAAATAAAATTTCCTGATTTTTTTATATGAAGTTTTGTGCAGATTTATATTTCCACCACACTTGAGATTTAAGAATTATGAAGCCATGGCTTCTGAAAGGATGTGTGATTAGTATAAAAATTTCAAACCAGATGATTTTTTCTGTTATTTTCATCATAATGTTACTTTAATATCATGAAAATTGGATATAACCTTGCAGACTAAAGACTCTAATCCAGTTTCCATTGTTAATGGCCTATGACCAATCACTCAATTGGAAGGTGATATAATGATATATGATCTTCCCTAGTACATGACATTGAATGTGGGATGTCATAATATATATTATAGAATAGTTCTAACAGGATGTAAAATAGCTTCAAACAATAACCTCATTGCCAATATCAACTGGTTCAGACTCAATATCAACAGACTTATACTCATAAATACATCTAAAAACATCATTCAAAACATATAAGCCATTGTCCTGTGCGGGTAGAAAAAATGATTGAGGAAATTGTGTTTAACATTGTCAGTTCCAGTCAAGCAGCCTGTCACTACAACCATTACCTCCATTATTATACGAGGGTTGAACATCAGCACTCAGAACCTCTACTATAAAGCTTGTGTAATCAAGAGATTGCATTTTTTTAAATCAATTTCATGCATCAAAATAAATAGATTGAAGTCAGTAAATGTTAAATTGTTTGTCACAATAGCCATAATCAAAACTTAAAATCCAAAACGGCGCCATCTTTGAGAACACAAATCTCATTCTTAAGAACACCGACAAGATCAATGGAACTGGCCCGTGATTTTAGATGGGTTACAAAATCAAATAGATCAATATGATATGGATAATTTTTTTGTATTGATTGAAAATAAATTACATGTATAATGTACCAATATGTAACTCTTAAACTTCATGCACATACCATCTTGTATTCAAGAATATTGTCTCTGAACCACCGAACCATATGATATCAGTAACACTTACTATTCCCTGTAGAAGGTTTATAATAGCATCAGTTTCCTCCTAATTATTAAACATATACATTATACTATGTAAAAAAATGCATTATGAGATAAGATAAGTTACCCCATTGGAAAGGATAATGCAACATGGCAAGTCAAATAGAACATGAACCAATGAGAATTGTGTATCAGGAAAAATATACTTTGTGAATTGTATAACCTCCTTCATTGTTTGATCATAAGCTTATGCAAAATTTCCCAAAGAGAACTCGATTAATATCAAAAATAAACTAATGTTGGAAAGTGTCCGAGATAAGAAGTAAGAAATCAAAACGAATTATATTCAATTGATTGATTAGTTTTGAGAAGCATCAAACCAAATGTGGTTACTTACACCCATCGTGTCAAGTCAGTGTTAAATACCTAAATCTAATTTGAACATATGCTAATTGGAATTAATGAGAATATTTCTAAACAATTGATCATTTTGAATTGAAATACCAAATATAGTACTTTAGATTTCTTATGTATACACTAAACGCCGCACATTAATTACCAAGATTAATACAAAAACAACATAGGCATATGCAGAAGAACATAGTATAGTAAATTCAACTCCGTTAATATGCAAGAGAACAATGTAATGGACATACATTAGCACTCTAAAACACTATAAACAATCAAAAGGTACAAATATCATGTTTGCAACCGACATAACAAATAAGTAAATATTTGAGAGAATTACCTCATCAAAATCAGCTGCTGCACCAATTGGAGTTGACAATGCTTCTTGAATCTGCTTCATGTTCTCAGTCTGTTCATTTATC